GGATTGGAGTGTGCTGCCTCTTGTGAAAGAAAAGAGAGTTATGAAAATCTTTAGAGTTAAGTGTGAAGTGTGTAAAATATTAAGTTTGTACTACCTACATTATCTATAATATAATTGAGTGTTCAGTTCTATAAAACCTCTACCAAAATCTTACTAAGCTATTGTCTCCTGAAATCTTAAAAATTATTCTACTCAAAACGAATAAGATCTACTTGTTGCCAAGCTGAAAGTTGTAAGGAAGGTGTGTTGGTGTTAAGCTCTTAAACTGAGGCACAATAATCTAGGTTGGTAATCTTCAAAGAGGCAGTAAATGAAGCAAAGTGGGCTTTAGGTTAAAGGCAAGACCTATTTAAAGAATTATTATATACTTGGCTAATATTGTTGAGCATCACTAATATTAATGTCTATCTTAGAATTGTATAGTGACTAATGAAAAAGTAGATATATATATATATATATATACATATATTAACTAATGTATGAGTTTATGAATTCTACATCACAATGATTGGCAATTATAGCTGATGCATTTGAGTTAAGTAATAATAGAAAGCTTAATGAAGAGATCACCTCTTTAAAAAGACTAAGATTTAGACATCAAAGAAATGTTGAAGAATGGGATCAATTGAATAAAACTGAAAACCTAGAGGTAAAAATATTTTAATTAGAATTTATAGATGAATTAATAAAGTTATTTGAAGCTACAACTAGGCTAACGAAACAAAAAGGACTATCGATGCATGTAGAAACTAATAGTAATATAAGAGTTTATTTTAGATTATGTAGATGATCTTAAATTCTATGATCACCAGTGCAAATATTATAGAAATAAAATAGTAAGAATTTTAGTAGAAATTAGCAAATTAGAGGATCTTGAAGAATATCATTTGCCAAAACTTATTCAAAAATTGGAAAATTTTGTAGCAAATTTAAAAGCAAATTTAAAAAAATTGAAGTATGCTAAACAAATGTTACCTTTGTTAGCAACATAAAGTATATTAAATTTATGTAATTGTATCATTATAAAATAAGTCTATTTGTGTGTGTGTGAAATTTAGTTGTGTAGAGTTTGAAATTTAGCTGTGTGTAGAGTTTGGTATTAGAGCCAAGAGTCTCAAAGTTTTAGGGCTTAGGTGAAAATTTTAAAGAAGTTAAAGGACTTGTTAAGAAAAACCAAAAACATTAAAGTAACCGTTAGTTAACGGTAAAAGCCAGAAAGCTAGTCAAAGGGTTAAAAATTTTGAAGATAGTAAGCTAAAGGGCTAAAATCTTTGACTTGTAACTTAAAGGGCTAAAAACTTTAGAAACATGAAGGTTAAGGGCTTTTTAGAGAGATAAGCCTAAAATTACAAATGTCATAGTAAATACCGTAAGAAAGATCTTAATCACAGATGCTAATCATCATTAGACTCCTCATTCATAGATTTTCCAGGCCACCATATAAGAGTTATAATGATTTACTGCATTAAATTGTATTAATTACTTTAAGAGTATTTTATAAATAAAAACTTAAAATTTTAAATTAGATATATTATATTTAAATTTATTATTAAAAGTATTATCTTGTAGTGTATAACTCATTATTATTACTTAAAAACTAAGTAATTGAAATGGCCGCTAATGGCAAATGCCAATAGTAGAATGGGGGGTTGAATCTTGTGCAAGTTAAAGGCGCATCACTTTCCAAAAGGGTTGATAAAGGTTATACGTACCATCACTAAAATCCGAAGATTGGTTTTGGGTAATGGCCACTTTGTGGGTTGAAAAGACATTTTGTGTAAACATTGGATTTGGAATGGTCTTCCATTTTCATTTAACGCCCATCTATATTGACTAAGATCAAACTAGCACTTATGACTATGGAGACTATTTAGTCATCCTCCTAGATTACATGTTAGTGAAAAGCCAAGCTACAAAATCTACTTGGTATCATTGTGGTTCCCAACCCCTCAACATTAGGGAGAAAGAAAAGATTTGATTTCGAATAAAAGGAAGACGACAAAAATGATGAAAGCTATCCTTAATAATTCAAGAATCAACCCACAATTTCGAATATAAATAAAAACATATTTCAACCGTTCGATGTACATGCACTATTTTGCTTTTGGTAAGTTAAAATATGTAATAACCTTTTCATTTCTCATGCACTTCTATGTCCATTTTAAAGTTTAAATAAAAAATTAAAAAAGTAATAAATAGGGTTTTATACAAATTGAGGAATTTTTGGGTTTTGTAACATATGCACAATACTTATATACCTCATAAGTGAGTGAGGGGAAATTAAACTATTAAACAAGATTAAAAGTGTCCCATTTTTTGTGAAAAAGGAAGGGGAGAAAGATGGAAAATGCATTATCATTGCCTTTTTTTTTTCTTTTTTTTTTTTTGCTTATTTTAATATTACTAGGGAGTGAGAGATATGACTATATCAGGGTGAATTCAAATATCAAATCTAATGAAAGGTACACTTTTTTAAGAGTAGAGACGATTCCCTTGTCCGTGAAGTGTATTATCATTGTTTTTTGTCACTTTGCACTAATGATCCTACTCATTTCCCTTAACTATTCTTTAATTTATGAGAAAATGACTTGTCAATTTGCATCACTAACTTTTGCTTATTCATGCATATAATCCAAGTTGACTTTAATTTGTTCTAAGAGCATCAAAGAAGCCTAGGAGAATTTAAGATAAATTTCATTTAAAATCAAATTAATAATAATAAAAAAGAGAAATTAAATCGGTCCAAAAATTGCATGATGATATAGCCATAACCCCAATATAAATCAAATGGCAAGCTTCTCTTTGACTACTGTCAAAATTTTTAAGAACGTTGTTTATGGACCATGATATTCATCATTAGTTAAGGTAATTTATTATATGCTGGGATTTAGTAGAAAAAATTATGAAAATGAATAAATCATGATTAAGCCTGTTAATATGATTGGTCGGCCGGCGGTAACTTGAATTAATTACTTCCGACAAATTGAATCTTTTAGCCTAAAAAGCCAAAATGCTTGGTGATTGTTTAGGATAGTTGATCACATAATCATTTCTGTTTTTCATCTTTAATCTTGTTTTGTATCCTTGTTCTTCATGAGGAGTAAATTTGGAGGGACTCGGTTAATTGGTTCTTGCAAATGGGAAAAAAAGAAAGGGGTTTAGAGGAAGAAAATGATTAGAAATCAATGACAATGATCACAAAGGATGGTGCTGTGAAAACAAATCATGGGATTCGAAAATTTATGCTGAGTTGGTAAGGTACAAGGAGAAAAAAGCTAATGAATGTGTCATGAGTTGAGAACATATGAACTTAGAAGAAGACACTAGACTTAGTGCATATGAGGTGCTTGGGGATGGTTATCCATTTCTTTCTATTTGTTAGACATGGTTAGAATCCAATCTCTCAAGCAGCAAAAAATTCTGCCATATGGCTGTGATATTTGTGATGTAGTATCTTGTGTCATCTTAGTACCATGTAAAGGTTATGCTAAGATATTAAGTTGGGTTTAACTTTTTATTAATCGAGAATTTCACATCAAAAGTATTTCTGTAATGGGAAATGATACATATATCTTCTAAAGTTATATATTCCGTTATACATTATCGGTTTTCGTTAATGTGCTGTTAAAATTAACGATTTCCGATCTTGTGTCATTAAAATTGACAATTTTCATTATTTATGCCATTAAAATTAACGGTTTTCATCAATTTTAATAATACACAAATGACAACTGTCAGTGTATAATGGAGAGTGTAATTTTTGAAGAGTAAATGCATTAGTGTTCTTATGTGATATGTTAGACTTCATTATCAGTTTGTAAGCATATCATAATTCATAAAGGAGATCTAAGGGACCAAATTTGAGCATCATATTAGATAAGTAATAGATTTAGTGTTGTTCCAAAAAAAGTAATAGTTTTAGGAATTCTTGTTTATCTCAAAAAACGTATTGTTGATCAAAATAAATCTTGTCAATATTCATTAATAAATAGTAATCTAAATTAGAAGCCATAACACCAAGGATGGCGCCTGATGTGAAAATTAATGAAATCAAAATGGCCCATCTTTAATTATATAATCCTAGCTAATTAAATACAAAAGTTTATTAAAAAAAAGTCAAAATATTAACAAAGAATCGCTTTTTCACCCATATAACCAAAATTTGAATCTTTAATCCCCCTTTCTCACCCCTCCCTATAAGCTTTACAAGCAGTTGGCCATTCCTTAAAAATAAAAAAATGAAAAATAAAAAATTTACGAAAGATTACTATAAGAGAAACATTCTCTTTTTCGAAATTCACAATCAATTAGTTTTAGAGGTACTGTCTTTAGCACCTGTGCTATCAACTGCTTTAGTAGAGTGCGCCTTTAACCATGGTCCACTCCATTGGTCAAATCTTTGTAATATTATTTTCCCTTTCGTCAAATTCTCCAATATTAAAAAAGAAGTACCGTGTCAAAACCGTAAGAATATCTCAGTGGATACAAGAAGCAAGATCATGAATGGGGGATGATGTTGGGTGAAGATATAGTGTGTCACAACTTTTTGGCAATAAAAATGATTGTGAGAAAAAGGGGAAATTGAAAGATATAGAAGTTGGGGGGGTAAGTAAAGTTCTTAGAGGGCATCAAAAGAGAAAAGAAAAAAAATGCAAGGGAAGATAAGAAGCAATTTCCTCTTGAGGAATCATGTTGTTGGCCATAAAAAACACACCCCTTAGAAAGTGTACTCAATTGCACCATTTTAAAACCCTCCACACCCAAACTTCCCCATTGTCCTATCTTTTCCTCTCTCTCTTGTCCTCTCATTCATTTCCTTTCACACAAACAGGGAATAATTATTTTTAAGAACTGGCCTTCTCTAAAATGGGCCTAGTGGGTATGATAAGGGGGATGTGCGTAGAATTGTATAGAGTCACGATGCGGTGCGGATTGTCAAAAAGGCGGCTAACGTAAAAGCGAAACGTTTCGGACACGAAAAAAAATGAAACGTTTTCTTTCTCTGCTGCCGAAACTTTAGAAAAAGCAGTGAAAAGGCTTGGAAATGGCGACAAAGAAAGCTCGAAGCTTTGGAAACGAACTCGTCGAGAGCAGCTTTTTGGACGAATCGGTGACGGTTTGATCGCCGACGGCGGTGGCTACTTCTCTTCGGAATCTGAGTCTCCGTTAATCCTTTGACGAAACATCAGTCGCTCTTTGTAAAATTTTCGAAGAATCGAGCTTTTGAGTTCTGTGATCCATGTCGTCCGATATCAGCTAGAGTTTATGCACTCTTGGTGTTCTCTTCGAGCAAACGCTCTGTTCGACGCTGAAGATTTTTTTTTTTTTTTTTTTTTTTT